TCTTCGCCCTCCGACGCAATGGTCTTCCTCCTCATTAACATCCCCGTCTTCCCCTCAAATCGTCATCGAAAATGAAGACTGTCTTCTTTGAGGACACCATTCCCCGCACCTCCATTTCCAGGCAGTCGATCACCGAAGCGAATTCGCATCGAGACTTGGCTCCACACAACAGTCAATAATTGAAGCAAACGGGAACAATATCCAGTCATTCGACACCATATTTTTCACTGCTTCGCAACCTCCCAATTTTACCAAGCCTATAGTGGCATCGTGGAAATGGTGGGGATCAATTTTTTGGTCAGGTGACAGTCGAGATCCTCAAGCACAACCATCGATCTTTGTCACGATCAATCGATGACTGGTGAGGATTCAAAAAATACAGGTTTTTGGCGGTGAGATAGTGTCGTTCGTATTGGTGTAGAACGTCTATGATTATGCGTTGAAACTAACATGAATCTAAGAAATTAAATCCTACGCGCAGTGAAACTAAAGCTAGGAGTCAAATCTTACAATTTAAAATTCTCAACTCTTTACAAACTTACACGAACTAGGGGACCGAACGGATGGCCTATTGATCTTCGGTCGTATGTACTAACACCTCTTTGAGTTCATCTTCGTGGACGACGACTGCTCGGATCTCCCTGTCTGAAGTCCCATGCACGTTCGATCTCGGGAAAAAAAAACAAAGAAGATCCAATTGTCTTCAACTTTCTTGCCTAAGATGTCACGCCTATTTGTCTAATCCATCTCGGTTTTTGTTCGAGAATTATGATGAAAAAACTCGTGATATGCCGTGTACAATAATGAAATAAGTTGGAGACTTGGTGTATTTGTAGGCTACAACAAGGTGTTAAATTAGGTCTCCCCATGTGACAAAATTCTTAGTCTCTGGTCCACCTACACTCATGACACACGAATAACACTTCATTCCACTAAAGAAATATATATTATTGAACATCCTTATTTCACCGCGAATGAAAATTAAATCGCCTCTTGATTTATTCACTCGATCTATCTCGTCATGTATAATATCAAATTATGTTGATTAATTTAATAATTGATAATATAATTAATCAACTTCTTGCATACGAAATTTGCATCACTAAGTACTTTTTCATTATGTCGAAACTTAATCCACCTGTAGGCAGTGGCGAAACCAGGATCCCGTTTCGGGAAGGGCCCAATTTGCCTTAAAAAAAATTTTCACGACAAAACCAAACACAAACACAAAAATAAATACAAACTATTTAAATTAACGTTCAAATAACATTATAAAAAATAAAGTACAATCTAGCCCCTCCGGCCATCCCGCGGCGCACCACCCTCACTCCGGCATCGGAAGGGCGCTCAAAGGGCGCCCTTCCAGCTCCAACAAAACCCCCCACCCCTAGTTCGAATTTTTTTTTTTGAAGGGCCGGCACCTCTCCGACCATATATGTGGTTTCACCCCTGCCTGTAGGGTGTAACATACCGAACGTCTTGAACTCATTTTGGGGGCGTCATCCACCCGGCACACCGGGACATGGTGACTATAAATAATCTTCACATAACATGATGCATTTAACATTTATTACCAAAATCACCCAGCATAATGACCTAGGGGTGATTATTTATGAATTCAACTAGTTTTTATTTGGTTTGTTTTTTAACTATAGTTAATTTTGAGAAAATGCAGTATAATTAGTTGTTAGTGGATATATTAAAATAATATATAAATAAAATAATTAAAGTTGATTTGATGTAAAGTATGAGAAAAATGATTGGGAGTGATAGTTAGTTAAAATTATGTGAATGAATGAATAGTGAATTAAAATTGATGTGATGTATAAGAATAATTGGTTGATATTATTTAATTAT